TGGCCACTTTCATGAGTAAATCATGTAAGCCTTATATGATTTACTCATGAAAGTGGCCACTTTCATGAGTTAAGTCATATAAGTTTTTACTATTTCTTTTCCATATGGGTAGTATCTCCCAATGATTGCTTTTTGGTCAGGGTTGCTCGTGTAAAGACATATTTTTGGCAATATTTAGCCAAAGTAAAAGGACAGTTAAGAATATTGTAATAAAATATTTTTTATTTGACCTGCTTTATTACTTAGGCTTGATCTACTCACGCCAATACCATCTCCATTTTAATTTGTCTACCACCAGTTGGCAGCAAAGTCCTAATATTACAGGACTCAGTAGGAATGGTAATAATTGATGTGGCAGAGTTGGTTTATTCACAAGAATCATTGCCCATAAAAACAGAAGTGGGGTCAACCGGAAAGAGTGCATAACAATGTTGGGAGCTATAGTAAGATAAAAGTTAGTGTTCCTAACACAGTGAATATAAAACGTGCTTGATTTTAAGTTCGTTCTTAAAAGATCATATTCCCAGTTTATTCCCATAAAATGCGAATGCAAAGTAAAAAAAACAAACAAAACAAAAACCAAGGTTAATTTCCTTTATAGAATCTAGATATAGATATAATTTGTGCAGTGTGAAACAATATCCAGCACTTACCCCCGACAACCTAAAGCTAAATAAAAGCTTTATAATAGGTGGTTACACCCATTAAAAAGTCCTTCTACAAGCAAGTGTTGCCACATGGCAGCTATAACTGTAATTTTAATGACTACTGGGACATAGATATACACCACAACATGAGAATACCAAGAATGCTACATATCTCATTTTTGCTATTAAGGATTTCTATAAAATTATATTCTCAAACTTTTTTGTGTGATGTGTCACTCTTTTTTTTTTATTAAGTCTATGAGCTTTAATATAATGAGCTCAATTGCCCACTTTGTGTTATAATGGCAAACTGCTTGTAAAGCATCTCATGGTTTTGATTTTTAAAGTCAAGGCATTCAGTACATATGGTGGACTGTTTGTGGGTGTTACGCCGATGTGCATAAAGGAATGTGATAAGACTGAGTTTCATTTTTACAATTTGTCCGCTGGTCTGACAACTCACAGAGATGAAAGACAAATGTTTAGTGATCTGATAATATTACTTCTCTAGTAGCAAAAGGGCAACTTTGTTCAGTGCTGGCATTAAATAAGAGATAGGACTTAGTGACTCACAAGGAAGTAGTCAACACATTCATTATAAATTTTATCTCAAGGCTAATACCTGAAAGACTCAGCTGAGATATTCAGGATATTAGTGATAGGATATTAGTCCTGGGTGATTAAAGGAAGAAAGGAGTACTTCACAAGTTTAAAAGCATGAACGCACTAAAAATAAAACCAATGGTAACAACAAATTAATAGACATTTGGGTTACATGGTTATATATTGTCCTGACAAATATCGCAAATAAGTAGTCAAGTGGTTACATGTTTCCAAAAACATCATTTGCAACAAAATGTAAGCTCAAATGAATTCATTTATAATTAGTTTTGTTGACTGACTGCATGATAATATCACAATGTCACTCACAGGACATCAGTAATGAGCAATATGTCAGTAATGTTGTTTCTCAGTCAACCATAGCCATTTCATTGCTGTAATAGCTGAACAGAGCACTCCTTTCAAACTCTCCTGATAAAGGTTTTTTCAGCTGACCTGTTTTCAGTTTGGGTTTTTAGTTCCAGTGTTGAACTTTGACAATAACATTTTCATCTTGTGAACCTTTTAATTACTGCAACAAGTCCTAAGTAGGCCTGTAACTTCAAACACTGCTCATTTAATGACTACCACAGATACTGATATACTCAGATGTTCTCCAATCCACGCCCAATAAACAAGAGTGGTATAAAATATCATAAATGAATTCGGGTCAATTCGTATAATCCAAAAGTTTTTGTACACTCTCAACAACATGACATAAAAGAAAAATGGAACTGAAGAGGAAACACTATTAAGACAAACGTACTGGGCCACCTAAATATTATACCTACATAACAACTGCTGTTAATTTCACAAGAGGCTACTTTATCTGATCTGCTACTTTGTGGCTGAGTTACTGTAGTTGCTTCCACTTTACCATTTATAATACCACTTATAACTGATTGTGGGATATCTAGGAGGGCATACATTTCACATAAACTAAACTGTTGATGCTCAAATTCAGTGAGGTCTTTAGAACAACCCTATTCCTTAACCCTAGACTACTATTCAACAATGTTTGTGAAGACTGCTTGATGCTTGAAGTGCTTAATTCCATACACACATGGCAACATAATGAAAAACACCTAAATTCAAAGATTAAACGATATGACACCAATGCTTTTAATATTATAGTGTATATTACACCCATAAATCCAAGTAATATAATGTGCATTAACTGTGAATTAGTTTTGGCCGTTTATTTATTATTTAATACAAAATAATTTTAGCAGGACTTTCCAACTCCTATGGGTCAAATTATTTTTAACTAGGAAACAGTTGTGGTAGTAAAAGTATGAACTAAATCAAATGATGATACACATAGATTTACAAAGTATCATTTGGTTGAAAGAATGGTTCGCTGAATTAAATGGCAGAGCTGTATCAATTTAGAAACCAAAACCAGTTCAAATTTCTGTAGTATCTTATCACAGTTAAATCATGGCACCCAGATGCGGGTGGCATGCCAGGTTAAGGCATGTTTTTTATAATGATAGCTGGTTCTGAGGTCTGGCTCTGTGTGTGTTTGGCTGCAAACTGGATACTTCTGAAGCACTGGTGGAGAAGAGGTCACTGCAGATTATTTTGTAGACCCTTTGCAGTTCCTGCTGAACGGGGGGTGAAGCCCCTTCTCTCACAGACTGACCGACTGATTCAGCTTTGCTTTACATTAATCAGGTTTTGTATCAATTCAGTTCATCCGACAGTAAAACCATCTATATGAATGTGTTCTATTCTAGTGTTCTGAGGCAAATTTGACCTTCACAAGTATTTGCTCCCTAAAATCCTAAAACTTTATAGATTTTCTGTAAATATAAACCAAATTAAATGGTTGCCGTTTTGACACACTAGTGTAGATTCAGTTGAAAACACAAAAAATACAGGACATTAACCACATTTGAGATGTTTTAGAAAAAGAACATTTTTAGAACACCTTCCTTAGAACTCTTTTGATCTTACAGCGTGCATGGTATTTTACCAATGGACCAAAATCTACAGATTTCAGTTTTCTTCCCTTCAGTTAGACAAGTTAAGCCCCTTTTTTGGCCCATGGTTTGCTCATTGCCCTGGGTAGCAAGTGAAGCACTCTCAATAATATTTTAGTAAACATTTGCTAGCTGTAAGCCAGAGTGGCGACGTGACTCGAGCTGACACTCATCAAACAGGAAATAGTCATCAGTGATTGGAGTCTTAGATAAGACCTTACATGTCCTGTATGTTTTAGTTTATCAAGACTCACTCGGTGGATGGAGCCTTTATGATAGATTTCAACTGAAAAAAAAATTCTTTATGCTAAGATGCAACAGAGCATAAACAATGCAGAGAATGCTCTAACTCCATCAGATATAGCCTTTACATTGCTGTCATACTTGTACAGGGCAACACCTCCCAATTCTGTTAATAAAAGGTACTTTCGAGTGACCTGATTCAGTTTGGATCTGCAAAGGAACATTTAAAACCGCTGAGGACGATCAGCAGTTTCACCCGGTAAGTACATTCACAAAGAGTAAAGGCAATAAATATAAAAACCTATAACTTCATCTGTTCTCGGTTTTGTAGGTCATGGTAGATCTGTAATTGTGCTACAAAAAGAGTGTGGTCTTAAATAGATTAGTCACAACTGTGTATATTAATTAAGTGTATGACAGCAATGCAGGTAAGTTAAAGTACCGCATTTTGTATATATTCATATTTTACTTTGGGGTGAATGTTCTACAACATGCAGTGTTGGGAAGGTTACTTTTAAAATGTATTCCATTACAGATTACAGAATACATGCCCCAAAATGTATTCTGTAACGTATTCCGTTACGTTACTCAATGAGAGTAACGTATTCTGAATACTTTGGATTACTTAATATATTTTCATGCTGTTTACAACTACATGAATGTACTATTGCTGTGATTTATTACTGTTACTGAAGGTCCGCGGCTCCGAACCGTAGTAAAGGGACCTCTGGCTAATATGTCGGGTTCGTGTCGGGCTCGTAGCCGAAAACTAGCTTTACTTTGTTGTCTGGGTCAACTTTGCTAGCGAGAGACAGAGAGAGGCGTTGAAAGGCTGCTCCAATGGAACTTATTGTTTTTGGAGGAAAACACGAACACGGTGTACAGTCGAGTCTTAATAGCTTACTTACAACTGGGCTCGTCAGGCACTCTTCTTGGCTGCAGTGGTTATTATTATATTTACATGCTTCCAGCTCCCGTTTTTGCTCGATGACAACTTGTACTTTCCTTTTTCTCCCTCCCTCGTTCACAGACACATACCGGGTATGGCAGTCCATTCTCCCTGCAGATCGGACTACACTGCCTATGATGCTACATTCTTTCGAGCTATACCGGTAGCATTCTGCCTATTAGCTTAGCACAACAACAACAAAAAGGCCTCTCTCACCCAGGAAACACGCAGAGAGAGAACGTCACTCATATTTCTATCACAGTGGCACTATGGCATTACAACCTCTTTCATCACGCGGTGAGTCTGGCGAGATTTATCAGAACATAACACAGATAGCAAGACAGAAAGAATGCAAGTATCTGAGCATGACGAGGACAGCTAAAATCCAGGTTAAGCCCAGTGCTAGGCAAAAGTCACAAGAAAATAAGGATGTGTTAGGGAGGATAAAGGTGACAAAGAAAATCATTAACAGAACCAGAAGCCACGTTTACTCCCGTCAACACTCTTAGAATGACAGTTAGAAACACTAGTTATGTTGGGAGTAGGGACAGTTATGACTTTACCAAAACCCAGGACTGGACTGGTAATCTTACATACGCATAAGTTTCGTCAGGAAGAAGTGGCGGAGAGGTGGAGCTGGAAAACAAAATGAAAACAATCAAAAGAAACTAAAAATAGGTGCAGCTAATTGTAGTACTAGCAAGAACTAGTAACAAAGCTTTGTGGAGAAGTGAGAAAGAAATCAAGGAATGTGTAATTCACAGGGTAAGACAATGATGAAGGGACATAATGGGATTAAAAAAATGCTAGGACCAATTTTCTGACCCCAAAACACATGAACATCCGAATCTAGAAACAAACTTTGAAGCTGTTTGACACTTATCCCAAACATGTTACATGTTTCTAATTTACAAACTAAAGGACAATTACTACAGCTATAAAAAGCATCAACTTTCCCCACATTTCTTAAATGTGCCCCCTTGTGCAGTAGTGAGACATGCAAGCAGCTTTTGCACATTATCATTTGATGCACCAAAAATGTAAAAAGGCCGGTGTTCACACCTTCACAGTGGTTTTGGGGAGAAGGATAAGAGTGTTTAAAAAGATTATTTGAGCACTTCCCAGTAAAGAGTAGATATTTTTTACAAATAATTAAAAAAAACATTAAAGTTATAAAAGAATAAAAGAAATAAAAGATATAAATATGTATGTATGTGCTGGAAAACATGTAATAACTTTTTTGTTGATTTACAGCATATGAACTTCGGATTCTGGTTTTTGGAAAGACTCAAAGTAAAAAATCAATTCTAACCAACTTCATCACTGGGAAAAAAGATTTGACTGGGGATCTTCTGCAAAAGGTGTCCCCATCCACTACAGTCACTCAAGGACAGTATAGGAAAACACGCCTAACAATAGTGAAAACTTCAGATGTCTTCAGTTTAGCTGGAGAGAAGGTGAAGCATGAAATGAAGAAGTGTGTGGCTCTTTGCCCCCCTGGACCAAATGTTCTGCTCCTGTTAGTAAAGCCTTCTGAATTCAGTGAAGAAGACAGACAAAAACTAAAGCTCATCCTAAGATTCTTTGGTCAAGATGCTTTTAAATATGCAATGGTCATTTTGACACATAGTGAGGAGAAAACAACTTCAGCTGTGGATCGACTCATACAGGACTGTAGACAAAGGCAGCAGAGAATCAACTTTGACAAAAAAGATCTGCCAGAAAAGGATCTTCAAGAACTTGTGGAAAAGATGGAGAGCATAGTGAATGAAAACAGAGGAGGCTATCTAAACAGAGGTGAAGAAGCTGACACCACAACTTTTAAACCGCCTCTTAACCTGGTATTGTGTGGGACATATGAAGTTCTGAAGAGTTCAGCAGCCAATGCCATTGTAGGAAAACACCAGTTTGGTAAACCTGCTGACTCCTCAGAATGTGTTAAGATGGAGACACAGGTGTGTGGACGTTTAGTGTCCCTGGTGGAGATGCCTGCTTTGTATGGAAAATCTCCTGAGGCAATAAAGAGCTGCAAAAAGCAATGTGTTTCTCTCTGGAATCCCGAAGGTGTCCATGCCTTTATCCTGGTCCTTCCTGTGGGACCCCTCAGTGACGAAAACAAGCGAGAGTTCGAGATCATCCAGAATGAATTTGGATCTCAGGTCATCGACTTCACCATGATTCTTTTTGCAGTGGAATCAGATCCCACAGATCCAGTTGTTGTCAACTTTATTAGTGAAAACAGAACCATCCAGGAGCTCTGTCAGAGTTGTGGAGGACGAAACATCATCTTCAACATCAAAGACAAGCAGCAGGTCTCTGAGGTGTAGCACACTGTGGAGAAGATGACAGCTATGGGATCTAAGTGCTTCACAAGACAAATGCTTGTTGAGCCTCGATTGATTAAACTCAAAGAGATGATAGTGGACTACAGGAAGTCTAACAAAGACAACTCTATCTTTATCAAAGGTTCTGATGTTGAGGAGGTAACAAGTTTTAAGTTCCTACATAAACTGTTGAAGAACTGACGTGGTCTTTATTTAATTCCTGTTAGATAAAGGCCCAGCAATCCCTCCACTTATTGAGCAGGTTAATTTACTGTATTATACAAAGCATTATAACATCTTGGATATCAGACTCTATCCAGTGAAAACAGTTGAGCGACCTACAGACATCTACATAAAACGCTGTATCCAGCATGCACATAACAACACCCATGACCTCACTCACCCTAGCAACAGACAGTTTGAACCCCTGCCAATTTGGAAATGGTACCAGTGTCTCAGGGCTTGCACTACAAGGCTAAGTAACAGGTTTTTTTCACTGAGGATTGCAAATCTCTTAAACTGTGTTTCTGACCATATGCTCCTAAGCATTTTATTGATGTTTTGTATTAATGTTCAATAATGTTATTAAATGGACAGTCATGCAGTGTATAACACACAATCACTGAAACGGGAACTGCCACATACTGACAGTTTATCAGCAGTAATAGACTGCTTATAATTCACTAATCTGCTGCCATTTTACAGCACACCCTGGACATCTTGCCCTACCAATGCAGGGATGAAACAGAGACTGATAACCATTCATGCTCCACGTTCACAGCTATGGGCAGTCACCAGTTAACCTAAATCCATCCATACCTTTGGGCTGTGGGAGGAAGCTCGAGTACCTGGAGAAAGCCTACGCAGACTTGCAGAAAACATGCAAACTCCACACAGAAAAGATAAATGATTAATATGCTATTTCTATTACTGTTTGCCTATTTTGCTCTTAAAAAATAAATAAATAAATAAAAAAGCTCATGTAACATGGGATAAGCATACTTTACATGTTAAGAGACCAAGAAAAGAGGGACCAGTCATTCCCCTAAATAGCCCATTGAACTTGGGTGCACAAATCAAACAATGCTGCACACACTCTGCTTAAGACTCAGTTTGTACCTGATCCTTGTCACTGGCAGTTGCCAGTAGCAGCCACCCACATGTAACCGCACTCTGTCAACATATTCTGATAGTCTTGATATATAGAACATCCTGTGGTAAGGGAATATCTTGGTGTGCAAAAACTCTCACGTTAATGGAAGCTCTAGGCTGTACTCAACATCAGACCTTTGTATGCAGAAAAAGTGATCCAGATTGTAATGTAACTTCCCAAGTGCTTGTTTTGGATTATATGTAGATTAAACAATACTAACTACTGTCTAGAGTTTTAACATATACAGTAAAGAGAATACTATACGGTGTTTTGCCTGTTGAAGAGAGAAGTAAATAGCCCATCTTTTTTGTGTACCAGCAGATACTGATACGCTGCTGCAATATAATTGCAAGAACAAGCTCCACAACTCACCTTTGCAAAGAATTCTGTGTCACTGTTTAGGCAATACATTTTTTATGAGCCTTCTGATGCTCTCAATTTGGCTAATTTCTCTTTTAATCACTGACGATGGCAGAAAGGATGAAAGTGCATTATGTTTTGTTTCTTTTGTCATAATTTTCCCAGCATTCATATTTCTGTGTTTACTGTCTCTGTTAACATTTTTTTGTGTCTAGCATATGTCTGTTCGTCATTTCCTGTTTACTGTGTTAGCTTTTCTTATCCTGTCTGGTTTTTACTTCTTGTCATTCTTAGTATCTTCACTTGTGTTGATTACTTTTGCCCGTGTCTTTTTCCCCACCTGTTTCACAGTGAACAAAGTGAGGTCTACATCATTGCCCAAGTTAGCCATTTGTTTTCTCTGTTTGTTTTTTCATGTGGAAATAGCAGATTATCCTGCCAATTTGGAGCAGCATTTTTTGTTTCTCTCTCTCTTTTTTTTTTTTTTAAGTTTGTATCCTGAATTTTCAACACCCCAGATTTGGATCATCTCTCTTGCAGCATCCTGACATGCACTTTGTCAAACACAAAGTCACAGACTACTGCTCTTAAAGTGGCAGACCATGAGATCCACTACAAAGCTAGAATAGTGAAACTGACATGGTAGGGAGAGTTAACTGCAAGGCAGCACTTCAAAATTCTTAAAAAATAAAAATAAATAAATAAATCATCCATGATGTGTTGGCTAAATACAGATTTGGTTGTTTCTCTATTGTAAATGAAGTTTAAAGGTAAATGAATGGTTAACTGGTATTTCTACTACTGACTTTTTTTGAATAAATTAATGTAATGTGTAATGTGATAAGCATTTTTAAGTGTTGAGAGAGCAAACTAGTAATGATGGCTATTTTGCCCTAACAGAGCCCACTTAAACTTGGGTGCAAACATCAAACAATCAAAAACAAAAATACTCAGAAATGCCAATGAGTTGCCACAGTAGAAAGCCACTCACATTTAACCACAGTCTGTCAACATATTGTGATACTTTTGATAGATAGAACATCCTGTGGTAAGTGAACATCCTGGTATGCAAAATCTGCACGTCATCTGCAAGTAATTTACTACATAAAATGAATAATGTGAGCTAAAACCTAAATGAAAAACACCAGCCCTTGAGCCTGACCTTTGTAAACATTTTCCTGATAGGGTAATGGGCTCAGTCAATCATTTAAAATTATATCTGAATATATTATTAAGTCCATTTTCATTTTTAAAATACAGATATTCGAGAATTAGAGGGAGAATCTTTTTGTTGTTGTTGCTGCTGCTGTAATTATGAATTTCCATTTAAAAATATCTATAAATGGAAAAATAATTTTTTCTAACTGCTATGTATTACTGTGATACTATTCAATGAAAGGATTTTTATGTTATCATAAGAGATTTTGGATTTTAGTAAAAAACAAACACTGAGATTAGATCACCTTAGACAACCTTCTTGAATAGTTAAGAGGCAGGATATTTGTACAGACATAGTTTCCTTTCCAATTCAACCGAAACTAGCTGACAGAAAATTCTTTTAAGAGCTCCAAGCAAGACGTTCTCACAGATCTGGTGAGTACACCTAACAAAGAACATTTAGCACTATATGCAACAGATCCAATGCTTATACAATATGACTGAACTGAGAATTAAATAGTATTCAGTGATTGAGACAATGCATAATACATAGTACATTAACATAAGAAATATTAAAATCCTCATGAGAAGTGAGGGGAAAACCCAATCTTACACTTTAACGTTTTTGGTAAATTATTTGTCCGCTGCAGAGGACATTGGGTCTCAGAAGGCTATAAATTAAATTTATTACGATCAAAAAGCAAGTATAATAGAAACAAATAAGGGCTGGTGTTTATATTTTTTTAACATTTAAATCCAACAAATTGGTTGTTTTTTGTTTTTTTTAAGAACACATCTGTTGGAGGTGTAATAGAATCGTTTTGAATTCATTTTGAAAGAATTTATCCATCTTACGCAAATAAAGAGCACTTAGAAAAAAGTTCAATTCATGGCACAATTTGTAACTTTGTGTGAGTAAGAAAAAATGTTCTCTCACTGTCACATAGTGATCAGTGGTTCATCCCTGGTAAAGGCAAAAAAAAGCATAATTGTCAGTATTATATGTATATGAGTTCGAGAACCAGCCCTGTTGCAAGACACTTCAATGATACACATCCAAATTCACCATTATGTTTTTAGGCATTGAAGCCATTAAACTAAACCACAGAGGTGGTAATATTAATTTTATCCGGAAAAAAAGAGAAGCATTTTGGATATTTTGGATATAGAGTCTGCACCCCAGAGGTATGAATGAGGATTTTTCAAATCAATAAGTTTTTGTGAACTGAACCTTTTTTATTTTTTATGTTTTTATTCTAATTTTATCAGTTAAATTATTCACGCATGGGTAATGTTTATTTAATTAATTTTATTTATTTTTTCAGCAAAAGAAGGAGTAGCATTCTAGACATCTTATCTTAAGTCTACATTTTAAGTCTACTTTTTAGAGATTTTACATTTTAGAGACATAAATTAGGTCCTTTTAACAAATGTGTTCCCGTGTGATGATGTCCTCTTGTTTTTTAATTCAACTGCTAGACATACTTCCTTTGATTATCAGATACTGCCCTTTGTCCCCCTTTTTTTGTATATTCATAGTATTCTTTTTATGTATTTCACGCATCTGTTATTTTGAGACAAGTGGGGATTATGTCTCCTCCCCCGTCCTCATCATTAATGATCTAGTCCAGTATTTACTTGGGCGTGACTTATAACAGGTTATATAACTGGTTATGTCAGCTGATCTATCTATAAAGTTTCGATTGGTTAATTTGAATTTTTTTCTGTTTCCTGTCTTGTATTTAAGCAATTTTCTACAATGTGTTACTGAGCTGGCCAGTGTATTCCTTCTTTTTAAGATCGTTAATTTGGTCACTTTCAAAGTTTTTGATATCTCTCTGATTTTGTTTTATTTTGTTCTTTCAACTTTCATCGCCATCTCTTTGGACCTTCTATTGAGACCAAATACAATAATAGTATAATAGGATTATTTTTAAAAAAACCTCCCCGCTCGCCCCTGCAGCTGGTCTGTCCTTCAAGCTCGGGTCCTCTACCAGAGGCCTAGGAGCTTGAGGGTCCTGCGCAGTATCTTAGCTGTTCCTAGGACTGCGCTCTACTGGACAGAGATTTCTAATGTTGTTTCTGGAATCTGCTGGAGCCACTCGCCTAGTTTGGGAGTCACTGCACCTAGTGCTCCGATTACCTCTGGGACCACTGTTATCTTCACACTCCACATTTTCTCAAGCTCTTCTCTGAGCCCTTGGTATTTCTC